GGAGACAGAGGATCCAAAGTGGGCTCCACACTGACAGCACAGAGTCCGAGGTGAAGCTTGAACTCATGAAATATATCATGACCTGAGCCAAAGGCAGACACTCAACTGACTGAGCCCCCCAGGCACCTTAATTTTATAAGTACTCAACCCCCCGCCATGCATGGGGCTCAAACTCAAAACCCCCAACATCAAGAGTCATATGCTCTACCCAGCCACCCTTTTTTTTTAAAACATTCATTCCTATAAAAAATTTGGACCATGCATGCACTGGCAATAAGTGTATTTATAAATTATATACATGTATTATCTTCAGTTCATGTATTAATTAGGCTTTTATTTATACTTCTTTTTTGTTTTTTGAAGTTTAGTTTGGAGAGCAAGCGAGACATGAACAGGGGAGGGGCAGAGAGAGAGGGAGACACAGAATCGAAGCAGGCTCCAGCTGTCAGCAGAGAGCCCGACACGGGTCTCAGACTCACGAGCAAGGAGATCATGACCTGAGTCGAAGTCAGACACTCAACTGACCGAGCCACCCAGACACTGCTATTTATACTTTTTAACTAAAATGTAATACTTTCTTCCTGTATTCCAGCGCACTTGCACCTCTTCGGAGATCGTCAGAGTAAAATATAGTCAAAGTCAGGGCTCTGTCTTAGAGAATAGTTCTGTTTTCTGGCAGACTCGGGGCTCTTGCAGATGCGCCTCTAGTCAAAGAAAAACCTCATGAGCTAATGATGGGCTTGCTACTATGTTAGTTCAAAGCAAAAAGTTCTCTGAAAGGTCAGTAGGGTCCTTAAGTTATTAAAAGACATTGCTGTAATTACGATAAATATATCAATCCCCTTGTGTTTCAGGGCAAGATCCTAGTTGGGACAAGGAGTGCGGAGATCATCGAAGTTGGAGAGAAAAATGCAGCCTGCAATATTTTAGTTAATGGTCATGTGGATGGGCCCATATGGGGACTAGTGACACATCCCTCCAGGGATTTTTTCCTTTCTGCCGCAGAAGATGGGACAGTGAGACTCTGGGATATTGCTGATAAAGTAGGTACAAACAGTATTTGGCTTTTTTTCTTTTAAGTTACAATTTCTAAGGAGAGTGTAAGTCCCAAATTGCTAGCACAATTTGAGAAGAACTATTTGAGAATTATGTTGAAAAGGAACTGGTTTACTTTGTAAGTACTTAATGTAGTTTTCTCTGGCTCTTTTGGTTCTTGTGCAGAAGATGTTAAACAAAGTGAACTTGGGACATGCTGCTCGGACCGTGTGTTATAGCCCTGAAGGGGATATGGTGGCTATCGGAATGAAAAATGGAGAATTTATTATTTTACTGGTGAGCTCCCTAAAAATATGGGGAAAGAAGAGAGATAGACGATGTTCAATCCATGATATCAGGTTAGTCAACAAATGGAATAGAACTTCTAGTATATGTATTCTTAAATGACCCGGGTTGCATTTGAAAACAGGTCCTCATTAGTGCCTATAGCATTTTATCACATCATCACTTGTATGCTGAAATATGGCTGTTTGTGTGCTTCTTGCCGAATTATTAATCTAGTGGCATCAACCACAGTGCCTTATAAGAGCACGTACTCAGGGAACGCTTGACGATGAAGCGTCACACTGGACAGGTCCAGCAAGTTCATCCTGCCAAGAATGATCTTCTGCTGTACCGAAGAGAGCCATCTGTCCTGTAGACGTCAGCCTGGAAACTAAAGCTGCAACCCCAACTCTCAACTGCGTAGTTACTCGTTTAATTAACACCCATCAAACATCTATGCCCCAGAATCTGAATTAATTAAACTTTAAACTTTTCTTGAACCTTTATATTCCAGTGCTTAAGCTTATGTGGACAGTGGCTACCACTTACCAAGTGCCTCTGTGTGATCAAGACGGATTACTGAATCTGCTTGCACCCTTCACCGTAAAACCCTTTTACAAATGAAACCGTCCTCAGGACTTCACTATATAAACTTCTTATAGGTCCCCCATTCCCCTCAAGAACCTGCGTTGTCTCAGATCATTTCCCATGATCACTAGGCATATACTTGTCTTCAAGTAACTTCTTCCAAGCTTCAAATAGTGTTCCTTCACCAGATAACCTGAGGGGACTTAAGCAGGTCTGTGTCCTTTGCTGTTAAGATACCATGATTCCAGATGAAAGAAACCTATCTTGGTGAATTTGGCGAACTATGTAACTTAGCAATTATGTAATTGTTAGTGGCTTTTTCAAAACCTACACTTTTAAGGGAATTGGCACTTGAAATAACATGTAAATTTTGTTCCACATAACACAAATAGAATCTCCATACACACAATCAGTTGTGTCCACCAGGTAAATCTGCTTGAGGCCAGATCACACACATACTTGTTTTTGAGGTAGAATGGAAGTTACTGGTCTTAAATATTTATGATTTCATGTGTGCTGATGTATCTTTCACATATTTTATTACCTCTCCAGATTTAGTCCAGATTCCCGGTTTCTGGCAGTGGGTTCTAGTGAGAACTCGGTGGACTTTTATGACCTAACATTGGGCCCCACCCTTAACAGAATCAGTTACTGCAGAGACATTCCCAGCTTTGTCATTCAAATGGACTTCTCTGCAGATAGCAGATATCTCCAGGTACAGTACCTGTGTCCTACATCCAGTTCACAGTAGCTGTTTTTACATTGTTAAGTGGATGCATTTAAAACTCCTGAGTTTCAGAGGGGCACCTAGCTGGCTCAGTCAGCAGAGCATGGGATTCTTGATCTCAGGGCCGTGAATTCGAGCCCCACATTGGGCGAGAGCTTCCTGAAAAAACTCCCGAGTTCCAGAGCTTCTGAACTCTTGCCTTTGTTTACTCTTCACTGTTTCTGCATTCTTTAATATCCTGTTCTTCTCAGATCTTTTCTCCGTCTTCTTCTGACAGATTTTTGTTGTCATCATTAATGTTCTTATCGTTGGAAATGTAAATGAAATAGCACGCTTTGCTAGTATACTCTAGCCTTCTGATGTGTCTCTCGCATTAATGGAATTCTTGTCCCATTTTAATACGCTGAAAGGTCTCCACTGGTTGCTATAAACGACATGTCTATGAAGTGCCTTCAGGAAAACCTGTTCTGGATCAGGCCACCATGGACAGAATTACTTGGGCCACATGGACTAGGTAAACTGGAAAATCCTGCTTCTGAACAGTTAGAGCCATTCCACTAGGAAACAGTGGTCAAGTTCTAAGTTTGTTACTGTTTCCTGAGTTCTTCCTAAGAGAAGAATGATATGCTCATGCTGGGACTCCTTGTGACTGGACATATTCTCATGCTTTATCAAGGTTAAAAGCCTTTGAAGATACCCTGATATTTTCCTTAACATATTAGGTTTAGTAACCAGCAATAAAAACACATACTGGGTACTGTTAAGCAATCCTATCATTTCTCTACCTAAAGGAATGCAATCTTGCAGCTGTTAGAAATGAAATCCTACAAATTTGCTGTGTAACATAACCATGAGTATCCATCTTTTTAAATTCCTGTAGCATAAGCATCTTTATTAATTTTAAAGAACATAATTAAGTAGAAATTAATTACCAAAAGCCTTTTTCAGTGTAGTACATCTGTGTTTGCTATCGTACATTTTCTTTATTCCTTCCCTCTAGTATTCTAGGAGATGAAGTTCTGGGAATCTGGTCCAGACATGCTGAGAAAGCCAATGTCAACTGTGCCTGCGTATCTCATTCAGGAATCAGCCTTGTAACAGGAGATGACTTTGGGATGGTTAAGTTATTTGACTTCCCATGTCCTGAAAAATTTGTAAGTTTGTGTTTGGTTTTGTTTTTGATGTAGTTTTCTAGTTTAGACATCTGATCGTTAGTACTTCTTCCATAATTTAATAGCTAAACATGTTAGTCTCCTGGTTTAGAAACACTTAATTTTCGTTCCTAAGGTTTTTTCAAAACGAAAAATAAAAGCTTTTAGAAATTATCTCCCCGTGCCCAAGTAACACCATCTTTGCAAACTATCCTAATAGAGCTGTGATTATTAGACTTTTATTAAACCTTTAATCTATTTCCAAGTTTCAAATTCTCTTCCTCAAAGGAAAATTTTCAGAGTGCCTGGAGACATCTGACTGCTCAAAACGCCTGGTCTGTTAAGGTGCAGATCCATTACTAACTCAGAAAAAGCAATGTTTATTTATTTTGAGAAAGTACTCAAGCAGGGGAGGGGCAGAGAGAGAGAGAGGGAGAGATTGAGAACCCCAAGCAGGCTCCACACTGTTAGGACAGAGCCCGATAGGGTGCTCAGTCTCATGAACTGTGAGATCATGACCTGAGTCGTAATCACGAGCTGGACGCTTAACTGACTGAGCCACCCAGGTGCTTGTAAAAAAGCATCTAATAACGCTGCATGTGGTCTGAAGAGCCTACTCTCTCCGCAGCCCGTGATGGAGACGGGGTTCCGGACAGGAACCTTTGATTTTCACGTGCCTCACACATCCTAAGCTTTCTTTTTCGTTTTTTCAGGCAAAGCACAAAAGGTTCTTGGGTCATTCACCTCACGTGACCAATATTCGATTTACCAGTGGTGATCGGCATGTCGTTAGTGCAGGAGGTGATGACTGCAGGTTGGTAACTTTCCTAGCCAGAGAAGAACAGACTATCTTTAGTTTTATGAAGAGATCTAATATCACTATATAACTGGGTAGCTGGTTCTGTGGAGTCACGTACTACGAAAATACAACATAAAATGAATTAATGAGAATTTTTATACATGTCATGATTTGAAAGCTCATTAAAAAACTGAAAATCTAGAAATATAATGAACTCACTGCATTTTTTTTATTGCAGTTTATTTGTCTGGAAATGTGTACATATGCCTCACTAAAAGATACGGATGCTGAGAAGACTGTATAAACTAACAGCCTTGAGAGACCAGAATTACAGACGAGGAAAAAAAAAAAAAAGGCAAACAGAACCAAACCCTGCATGGGCAAGTGGTGCTAATTTAGGATTGTAACAGGGATAATGCCCAGAGTCATCAAAGTAGAAGACAGATAAGTTCAAGATACTTGCTGTGTGCACTGGGAGAACTGTCCATAATCCACACACTGCCAGATGGTTACACTTCAAGGAAGGATGGAAAAAACACTTGGTGAAAGCCAGCCCCGTTTGGGGGGAGGGTGCAGACTTGGCAGACCTGCTGGGGAGGTTGACAGGACCTCGCTTCTCAAAAAACAACAACAAAGCAAGACCTTAAAAACCCAACTTGCATAGTTTTCATCTTTTTAAGCAAACAGTTTTTCTTTAGAATTTCTAGTTTATTTTTAAGGTTCATTATTTAATGACTTATTTTTTTCCTCGTGTTTACATAAGGAAAGAAAACACACCATCACCCTAAAGGATCACAGCTTTTAAAAGGTGAACAATTATTTTCCCTAAGGAAACACACACAAGCTTTACCGGAGAAGATAATGCTACTTAAGCATCAATAAACCTCTTTTTATAAAGGACACTTTTCTCCTGACAGTTTTAAATTCAGGAACAAATCCAAAGTTAGTAGTATATGAGCACTACATTTTCATGGTTGAGCTGTCGATCCTTTAATGTTCACAAGTCCTCTCTCTAGCTGAAAAACTAGAACATGATTATAGCTTCATCAGTGAGAAAGTAGTATGCTGAACAGTCCTTTCCAGTGGTGTACAGGTTAAAGGTTTAGAGAGCAGTAGTAGTTAACTGGGAGAGCATACTGAATATTTAAAGATGTAGTCTAGTAGAAACACCTGTTTAACATGTACACTGAAATGTTCAAGGTCACATTTACAAAGTTAAACAATTTAGTAGCTCTTGGAAGTTTTTATAGCTTTTTTCTATTTAAAAAATTTACTAATTAGCTGTATGCCACCCCATAGGCTGACTTCCAGAAGGAATGAATACAGGTCCACTTGTAACACTTGTCTATTAAAATTCCTTTTTGGTGGATTAGGGCTGAACTGTTAGATCTTTATCCCTATTCACTTCAATGCTGCCAAAGATCAGTACTTGCCGTTGAGGAATTTGCTGTTTAGCCTGTCTGTAGTTTCCTGAAGATTGGAGATTATGTAGATTGCTATTTAAAAATATATTTTTCTAAGTGTGAAAAAGTTTAAAATGCTCAACTGGTCATATGAATTTTTATTTTAATGTGTTAATTATCTTTGTAGCATAATAGACCCCTTCAGGTTCTGGAAATCTCAGTTTGGCCTGAGCTCGATTTTGTATGCCCAACACCTTGGAAATACTAAAAACAGAAATGGCTGAATCATATCACAGAAAGCCTAAAACCGGTGATTGAACATGGTCAGTTTTAAAGCTCTGAATTGTAGCTGTTGTCTGAAGGACTGGTTAAGGCATGATTAAGCTCGAAACATAAGCTCATAGTCACATCAATGGATTCTCCTAAATTGAGCCAAATTTTAGAATATGCTAATATTAAATTTCTATCCATGTATATTATAAAGGGGCTCAATAAATTAATTTCCCTGAACCACCCTCTCCCTTCCCGTTTTTGAGCCTGTTGCACTTTCAAACTTTCCTTCTGAGCCAGGTTTGCTAGCTTTTGGCTAAAGAGAAATCCCATTTCACGGTACAGGTAGAAACTCTAGTAATAACCGTAACAAAGTATAAGGCATAGAGCACAAAAATGCTTCCACTGCGTTTTTGTTCCAGCGGCCAGCCTACTAAGCCAGCCTTAATCCCTGCTGTCAGCTTCAGGACTCAAACTGTGGATTTTAAGTAGTTACCCCACAACCACCTTGTTTGTACCAGCCATCAGCTAAGGGAAGGTGAGTAACCGTGGTAGGTTATGAAGATTCTGCCCTGTGTTATTTTTTTAACCCAGAGATTTACTTTTATGTGCAGTATTTGACTAAGCTCCCGAATTTGTAACTTGAGAGTCCTGGCACGTTTGGTCCTGTTTCTGTGTATAAACGCACGCCAAAGCACACCGTGCACGCTCGTGCCACTCGCTGCACACCACCGGCCACAGGTGTTCCTTTCCTTCTGGTGGTTCTTTTTCATGGTGGTTCACGTTAGACCAAGTTATCCAACAGATGTAGAGTCAACCTCAGCTTGCCCGTAAACCAGAGCAGCTGAAGGTAACAAACTCTTAAATGTGTTCCCAGGCAGTGTTTATTAAATGGCAAAAAACCCCTGCTTTTAGCACGTCACTGACTTGTGAGATGGTTGAACCAAATCACTTAGGCCGTTTCCCGTTTATGTTCTTTGTAGTGAAATTAGGAAAATGCAACTATATGCCATTTATAAATGATGTTACTAAAAGTCTTAAAATTTGTAGAGATACAACTTAAATTTCTTCTGCAAAGACATAAAGCTCAATCTTAAGTAGCACTGGAATGAACAAATGCCTTAAATTCAGAGGAGTCAACTTTTTAGACTGAAGCAGAATGGTCATTTCACCCCAGCCTAACTATGTGAGGGCTCTGTCTTTCCCTACCAATCAGCACAGCGAAGTGCAACTTACAAATGGTTTAATAATTGGTTCTTTCTTCTACCCATGGAAAAGCAATGGCCTCAAAACAGACTGCTGGTTTCATGCTCTTAAACATGGACTTTTTACACATGCTGTTTTATTATCCCTTGGGTATGTAACTAATGAACTTTTAAGTTAGTTTAATTTGGTCCTGAGAATGTTTGGGTCTTTATCTCTTTTGCATTAGTTCACTCTGTTCCAACCAACTTTTAGCTTTATTTTTTTTTTTTAAAACTGCTGTACATCAAGTCTTTAAAATCAGTGATCCGTTGTTTAATTCTAAAGCATCTGACACTTCTTGCCTTAACTATTTTAAAAACCACACACAGAAAACTGGGTGTTGATTCAATAGTCCAAAAGTTTAGTCCTACTTTGCAGTTTACCCATCTGATTTCTGTAATTAGTCATTGAAAATATACTATTTAAATCTAATTTTTACATTGAAAAAATTTTCTGTGGATTTCTGAAAGTTATTTTTCAGAATGTGAAAATACATGTATAATCTTGTGAGTTTAAAGTCTGTTTTCTGATACCTTCTGTATATAGAACTGTAAAAAAAAAATTTGTATAATTTTGTGATAAAATGCATTCCCAAAATATTTATTTAAAAAGTGTATGTTAACAGTAAAGCATTTGAAGGAACTGTTCCTGTTGTGTTGCACTTGCCATCGCAGCTGGCTTTCCTGGACACTGGTAAGGGACCAGCTATTTGGGAACCATTCACCAAAGCATCACTCAAGCCCAAAAGCCATGCTTTTCAAACTAAATTCGCTTGAAATTAAAAAGGATTGAATGACTTTTTTCAGCTGCCTCCACACTTCTGGCCACTCCTGTTTTCACAGTGGATAACCCTTGGGAAAAGTGAGTGCAATCCAACTTTAGAGTTAGAATGCTCCTCTTACTAAACATGTATCAACATCATAGCCCCGGAGTGGATTATCAGCACTGACAATATCCTCACACTGTAAATGCTGAGACTGAAATTGCAGTGTACAAACAAGCCTCAAAGGTTTTAATGGAATTTAGCTTTTCCTTTAAACTGTCTTTTCACAGTCAAAACAAACAAAAAACACCCAATGTTAAAACCACTTAATAAACTTACAAACTAGAAAAATTAGACACTTCAGATAGGCAATAAACTTCATATTATGAAAGCAATATATATTCCAA